AACTGAGGGAGGAAGGAACTGAGGGAGGAACTGAGGGAGGAACTGAGGGAGGAACTGAGGGAGGAACTGAGGGAGGAACTGAGGGAGGAACTGAGGGAGGAACTGAGGGAGGAACTGAGGGAGGAACTGAGGGAGGAACTGAGGGAGGAACTGAGGGAGGAACTGAGGGAGGAACTGAGGGAGGAACTGAGGGAGGAACTGAGGGAGGAACTGAGGGAGGAACTGAGGGAGGAACTGAGGGAGGAACTGAGGGAGGAACTGAGGGAGGAACTGAGGGAGGAACTGAGGGAGGAACTGAGGGAGGAACTGAGGGAGGAACTGAGGGAGGAACTGAGGGAGGAACTGAGGGAGGAAGGAACTGAGGGAGGAACTGAGGGAGGAACTGAGGGAGGAAGGAACTGAGGGAGGAACTGAGGGAGGAAGGAACTGAGGGAGGAACTGAGGGAGGAACTGAGGGAGGAAGGAACTGAGGGAGGAACTGAGGGAGGAAGGAACTGAGGGAGGAACTGAGGGAGGAACTGAGGGAGGAAGGAACTGAGGGAGGAACTGAGGGAGGAACTGAGGGAGGAACTGAGGGAGGAACTGAGGGAGGAACTGAGGGAGGAAGGAACTGAGGGAGGAACTGAGGGAGGAACTGAGGGAGGAACTGAGGGAGGAACTGAGGGAGGAACTGAGGGAGGAACTGAGGGAGGAACTGAGGGAGGAACTGAGGGAGGAACTGAGGGAGGAACTGAGGGAGGAACTGAGGGAGGAACTGAGGGAGGAACTGAGGGAGGAACTGAGGGAGGAACTGTGGGAGGAACTGAGGGAGGAGGTGAGAGAGGAACTGAGGGAGGAACTGAGGGAGGAACTGAGGGAGGAACTGAGGGAGGAACTGAGGGAGGAACTGAGGGAGGAACTGAGGGAGGAACTGAGGGAGGAACTGAGGGAGGAACTGAGGGAGGAACAGAGGGAGGAACTGTGGGAGGAACTGAGGGAGGAACTTTGGGAGGAACTGAGGGAGGAACTGAGGGAGGAACTGAGGGAGGAACTGAGGGAGGAACTGTGGGAGGAACTGAGGGAGGAGCTGAGAGGGAACTGAGGGAGGAACTGAGGGAGGAACTGAGGGAGGAACTGAGGGAGGAACTGAGGGAGGAACTGAGGGAGGAACTGAGGGAGGAACTGAGGGAGGAACTGAGGGAGGAACTGAGGGAGGAACTGAGGGAGGAACTGAGGGAGGAACTGAGGGAGGAACTGAGGGAGGAAGGAACTGAGGGAGGAACTGAGGGAGGAAGGAACTGAGGGAGGAACTGAGGGAGGAACTGAGGGAGGAACTGAGGGAGGAACTGAGGGAGGAACTGAGGGAGGAACTGAGGGAGGAACTGAGGGAGGAACTGAGGGAGGAACTGAGGGAGGAACTGAGGGAGGAACTGAGGGAGGAACTGAGGGAGGAACTGAGGGAGGAACTGAGGGAGGAACTGAGGGAGGAACTGAGGGAGGAACTGAGGGAGGAACTGAGGGAGGAACTGAGGGAGGAACTGAGGGAGGAACTGAGGGAGGAACTGAGGGAGGAACTGAGGGAGGAACTGAGGGAGGAACTGAGGGAGGAACTGAGGGAGGAACTGTGGGAGGAACCGAAGGAGGAACTGAGGGAGGAACTGAGGGAGGAACTGAGGGAGGAACTGAGGGAGGAACTGAGGGAGGAACTGAGGGAGGAACTGAGGGAGGAACTGAGGGAGGAACTGAGGGAGGAACTGAGGGAGGAACTGAGGGAGGAACTGAGGGAGGAACTGAGGGAGGAACTGAGGGAGGAACTGAGGGAGGAACTGAGGGAGGAACTGAGGGAGGAACTGAGGGAGGAACTGAGGGAGGAACTGAGGGAGGAACTGAGGGAGGAACTGAGGGAGGAACTGAGGGAGGAACTGAGGGAGGAACTGAGGGAGGAACTGAGGGAGGAACTGAGGGAGGAACTGAGGGAGGAACTGAGGGAGGAACTGTGGGAGGAACCGAAGGAGGAACTGAGGGAGGAACTGAGGGAGGAACTGAGGGAGGAACTGAGGGAGGAACTGAGGGAGGAACTGAGGGAGGAACTGAGGGAGGAACTGAGGGAGGAACTGAGGGAGGAACTGAGGGAGGAACTGAGGGAGGAACTGTGGGAGGAACTGAGGAAGGAACTGACGGAGGAACTGAGGGAGGAACTGTGGGAGGAACTGAGGGAGGAACTGTGGGAGAAACTGAGGGAGGAACTGAGGGAGGAACTGAGGGAGGAACTGAGGGAGGAACTGAGGGAGGAACTGAGGGAGGAACTGAGGGAGGAACTGAGGGAGGAACTGAGGGAGGAACTGAGGGAGGAACTGAGGGAGGAACTGAGGGAGGAACTGAGGGAGGAACTGAGGGAGGAACTGAGGGAGGAACTGAGGGAGGAACTGAGGGAGGAACTGAGGGAGGAACTGAGGGAGGAACTGAGGGAGGAACTGAGGGAGGAACTGAGGGAGGAACTGAGGGAGGAACTGAGGGAGGAACTGAGGGAGGAACTGAGGGAGGAACTGAGGGAGGAACTGAGGGAGGAACTGAGGGAGGAACTGAGGGAGGAACTGAGGGAGGAACTGAGGGAGGAACTGAGGGAGGAACTGAGGGAGGAACTGAGGGAGGAACTGAGGGAGGAACTGAGGGAGGAACTGAGGGAGGAACTGAGGGAGGAACTGAGGGAGGAACTGAGGGAGGAACTGAGGGAGGAACTGAGGGAGGAACTGAGGGAGGAACTGAGGGAGGAACTGAGGGAGGAACTGAGGGAGGAACTGAGGGAGGAACTGAGGGAGGAACTGAGGGAGGAACTGAGGGAGGAAGGAACTGAGGGAGGAACTGAGGGAGGAACTGAGGGAGGAACTGAGGGAGGAACTGAGGGAGGAAGGAACTGAGGGAGGAACTGAGGGAGGAACTGAGGGAGGAACTGAGGGAGGAACTGAGGGAGGAACTGAGGGAGGAACTGAGGGAGGAACTGAGGGAGGAACTGAGGGAGGAACTGAGGGAGGAACTGAGGGAGGAACTGAGGGAGGAACTGAGGGAGGAACTGAGGGAGGAACTGAGGGAGGAACTGAGGGAGGAGCTGAGAGAGGAACTGAGGGAGGAACTGAGGGAGGAACTGAGGGAGGAACTGAGGGAGGAACTGAGGGAGGAACTGAGGGAGGAACTGAGGGAGGAACTGAGGGAGGAACTGAGGGAGGAACTGAGGGAGGAACTGAGGGAGGAACTGAGGGAGGAACTGTGGGAGGAACCGAAGGAGGAACTGAGGGAGGAACTGAGGGAGGAACTGAGGGAGGAACTGAGGGAGGAACTGAGGGAGGAACTGAGGGAGGAACTGAGGGAGGAACTGAGGGAGGAACTGAGGGAGGAACTGAGGGAGGAACTGAGGGAGGAACTGTGGGAGGAACTGAGGAAGGAACTGACGGAGGAACTGAGGGAGGAACTGTGGGAGGAACTGAGGGAGGAACTGTGGGAGAAACTGAGGGAGGAACTGAGGGAGGAACTGAGGGAGGAACTGAGGGAGGAACTGAGGGAGGAACTGAGGGAGGAACTGAGGGAGGAACTGAGGGAGGAACTGAGGGAGGAACTGAGGGAGGAACTGAGGGAGGAACTGAGGGAGGAACTGAGGGAGGAACTGAGGGAGGAACTGAGGGAGGAACTGAGGGAGGAACTGAGGGAGGAACTGAGGGAGGAACTGAGGGAGGAACTGACGGAGGAACTGAGGGAGGAACTGTGGGAGGAACTGAGGGAGGAACTGTGGGAGAAACTGAGGGAGGAACTGAGGGAGGAACTGAGGGAGGAACTGAGGGAGGAACTGAGGGAGGAACTGAGGGAGGAACTGAGGGAGGAACTGAGGGAGGAACTGAGGGAGGAACTGAGGGAGGAACTGAGGGAGGAACTGAGGGAGGAACTGAGGGAGGAACTGAGGGAGGAACTGAGGGAGGAACTGAGGGAGGAACTGAGGGAGGAACTGAGGGAGGAACTGAGGGAGGAACTGAGGGAGGAACTGAGGGAGGAACTGAGGGAGGAACTGAGGGAGGAACTGAGGGAGGAACTGAGGGAGGAACTGAGGGAGGAACTGAGGGAGGAACTGAGGGAGGAACTGAGGGAGGAACTGACGGAGGAACTGAGGGAGGAACTGTGGGAGGAACTGAGGGAGGAACTGTGGGAGAAACTGAGGGAGGAACTGAGGGAGGAACTGAGGGAGGAACTGAGGGAGGAACTGAGGGAGGAACTGAGGGAGGAACTGAGGGAGGAACTGAGGGAGGAACTGAGGGAGGAACTGAGGGAGGAACTGAGGGAGGAACTGAGGGAGGAACTGAGGGAGGAACTGAGGGAGGAACTGAGGGAGGAACTGAGGGAGGAACTGAGGGAGGAACTGAGGGAGGAACTGAGGGAGGAACTGAGGGAGGAACTGAGGGAGGAACTGAGGGAGGAACTGAGGGAGGAACTGAGGGAGGAAGGAACTGAGGGAGGAACTGTGGGAGGAACTGAGGAAGGAACTGACGGAGGAACTGAGGGAGGAACTGTGGGAGGAACTGAGGGAGGAACTGTGGGAGAAACTGAGGGAGGAACTGAGGGAGGAACTGAGGGAGGAACTGAGGGAGGAACTGAGGGAGGAACTGAGGGAGGAACTGAGGGAGGAACTGAGGGAGGAACTGAGGGAGGAACTGAGGGAGGAACTGAGGGAGGAACTGAGGGAGGAACTGAGGGAGGAACTGAGGGAGGAACTGAGGGAGGAACTGAGGGAGGAACTGAGGGAGGAACTGAGGGAGGAACTGAGGGAGGAACTGAGGGAGGAACTGAGGGAGGAACTGAGGGAGGAACTGAGGGAGGAACTGAGGAAGGAACATAGGGGGCATCAACATTGGGGGCATCAACATAGGGGAGGAACATAGGGGGCCTCGCCACGCTGCTGCGCCAGCTCACCCCTTCCCCTTTCCTCTCTACCCACATAATCATCATGCCCCCCCCCCATCTGTCCTCCCCCTCAGGTGATGGAGTAGGACCACATAGTGATAGGGGGAATCAACAACCGCCTCGCCACGCTGCTGCGCCAGCTCACCCCTTCCCCTCTTCCTCTCCTTCACCCTGTCCCATATCCCCACTTCCTGCACTGCACCAGGTGATGGAGCGGGACCACATAGTGATAGGGGGAATCAACAACCGCCTCGCTACGCTGCTGCGCCAGCTCAGCAAGAGCCAGCACTTTGCGGTGCAGGACGGCTCTGCTCTCACCAGGTGGGGGACGAGGATTTCGTATGGTGACGCTGCTGCTGCGGGTGGTGCTGTAGTTTGGTTGATTCCACGCTTGCCCTCGTGTGTGCTCAGCAAGAGCCAGCACTTCGCCGTGCAGGACAGCTCTGCGCTCATCAGGTAAGGAACGAGGATTTCGCATGGTGACGCTGCTGCTGCGGGTGGTGCTGCGGGTGGTGCTGCGGGTGGTACTGCAAAGGGTGCTGCGGGTCTCTGCCCTCTCCGCGTGACAGCTCAGCAAGAGCCAGCACTTCGCGGTGCAGGACGGCTCTGCGCTCACCAGGTGGGTTGGGTTGGGGCTGGTGTTGTGGGTCATACTGCTGGTGGTGCTGCCGCCGCAACGTGGTTGCTCAGTCAGCAACAGCCAGCAGCACTTTGCGGTGCAGGACGGCTCCGCTGTACTAGGTGAGTACAGAAGCATCATCTCCCCTCTGCCTCTCTTTCAACGCACCACCGCCCTTCTGTTCCCTTCCTTCCCCCACCGGTTTGCCCCCCCCCCCTCACCCACCCTTCCCCAGGAAGCGCACGGTGCTGCTGCTGACTGAGCTGCCGCGAAAGGAGTCGGAGAAGAATGTGCTTTTGAGTCAACCCAAAAGCAGGCCTCGCTCAGCCTCTCCTTCTCCTCTACCCCACTTCAACTCCAAGAGGAAGCGCACGGTATTGCTGCTGACGGAGCTACCAGGCAAGGAGACAGAGAAGATAGTCTCGCCTTACCTCAAGGACTGCCAACGCTTCATTTAAACTCCCCTTTCTCTTCTTTCCCCTCTCTTCAGGAAGCGCACGGTGCTGCTGCTGACAGAGCTGCCGCGCAAGGAGACGGAGAAGATAGTGTTGCCTTACCTCAAGGACTGCCAACGCTTCATTTAAACTCCCCTTTCTCTTCTTCCCCCTCTCTTCAGGAAGCGCACGGTGCTGCTGCTGACAGAGCTGCTGCCTTACCTCAAGGACTGCCAACGCTTCATTTAAACTCCCCTTTCTCTTCTTCCCCCTCTCTTCAGGAAGCGCACGGTGCTGCTGCTGACAGAGCTGCCGCGCAAGGAGACGGAGAAGATTGTCTCGCCGTACCTCAAGGACTGCGAGCACATCAACCTCTTCATCCGCAGGTGCGTGCTGCCATGCCATGCTGCTGTCGTGTCGTCTGACAATAGCATGTGCCATGGCATTGACTTTTGAGTTGACTCCAAAGACAAATCGCCGTACCTCAAGGACTGCGAGCACATCAACCTCTTCATCCGCAGGTGCCCCCTGCCAGCCACACGCCCCTCCTGTCAGTGCTTGCCTGACACTGCCCTCTTCCCCCTTAACCCTCACTTTCTCCTTTACTTGCACCATAAATGCTCACCCCCATTCCATCGTCCACCCCTCATTGTGATCCCTCCCTTCTCCCTCGTCCCTCTCTACCCCTCTCTTCTCTCCCCTCTCCCATCTCCCATCTCCCTTCGCCCCTCCGTTCCTGCGTCTCACCAGCGGCCCGCTGAGCAGCACGGCATCCTTCAAGAAGGTGGCAGCAGACAGGGTACGATCTGTTCCCACTCTTTCCCCTTCTGCCCTCTCCCTTCTTCCTCTCCTGTCCCCTTCTCCCTCACCAGCGGCCCACTGAGCAGCACGGCGTCCTTCAAGAAGGTGGCAGCAGACAGGGTACAATCTGTAACCACTCTTTCTCCCCATGCCCCCGCCTTCTCCCTTCTCTCCTCCCCTTCTCACTTATCACCAGCGGCCCTCTCAGCAGCACGGCATCATTCAAGAAGGTGGCGGCAGACAGGGCGCGCTCAGTCATACTCCTGGCACCCAAGGACGACTAGTGAGTGCCCTGCTTCTTGCTGCGCCCAGGCCCAGTCATTCTTGCGGCTTGTGAGGCGCTCAGTCATTCTTCTCCTGGCGCCAAAGGACGACTAGTGAGTGCCCTGCTTCCTGCCGCGCGCACTCACTCCCTGTTGCCACCGCACCAGCATGCATGCATGCTGCTCGCTGCCTCAGAGCCCCAGCACAGTCAGGCTGGCAGAGGTCCACTCAGCAGCACAGCATCTTTTAAGAAGGTGGCAGCAGACAGGGCGCGCTCAGTCATTCTCCTGGCGCTTTAGGACGACTAGTGAGTGCCCTGCTTCCTGCACAGAGTTCACAGCACCGCCAGTGTGGCAGCGGTCAGCACAGCAGCGCATTACCCTTCAAGAAGGTGGCAGGCAGACAGGGCGCGCTCGGTCATTCTCCTGGCCCCCAAGGACGACTTCCATCCCATACTGTGTCGCTCCTGCCGAAAAACGCCCACGACGCACCCTCCTGCAGCAACACTCGCCGCATCCAGGCGGGACGACGGGACGACGACGACGGTAATGGTATTAGTAATGGTAATGGTAATGGTAGTGGTAATGGTAATGGTAATGGTAATGGTAGTGGTAGTGCTGATGATAATGGTAATAGTAATGTTATCGTTAATGGATATGGTAATGGTAATGGTTAATGGTAAAGGTAATGGTAATGGTAATAGTAGTGTTAATGGTAATGGTAATGGTAATGGTAATGATAGTAAAAATGGTAATGATAGTGGTAATGGTAATGGTAATGATAATGGTAATGGTAATGGTAGTGCCGAGGCAGATGCAGATGTGGTGATGTCAGTGAGAGCCCTCAAGCCCCTTCTTTGAGGCACCATCACAGGGGTGGTTGCGGAGGTGTCAAAGGGCAGCACGGGGTCGCTGCTGAGGGGCATGGCGGAGGTGCGGGTGCGGCAGTGCCTTTGAGGTGGTGGAGGTGGAAAGGCACTGCTTAGCGCCTTTGATCCATCTCCCGTCCTTTCCTCCCTCTCCTTCCCCTACCACCAGCTACGAGGCAGACGCAGATGTGGTGATGTCAGTGAGAGCCCTCAAACCCCTCCTAAGAGGCTCCAACACGGGAGTGGTTGCGGGGGTATCAAAGGGCAGCACGCTGCTGAGGGGCATGGCGGAGGTGCGCATGAGCGCTGCCGTGGAGAAAATCTCTGCGAAAGGGCAGCACTGCTCAACGCCTTTCATCCCCCCTCTCTCCTTCCTCTCTTCCAGCTACGAAGCCGATGCAGACGTGGTGATGTCGGTCATAGCTCTGAAACCCCTCCTAAGGGGCACCAACACGGGCGTGGTAGCAGAGGTCTCCAAGGGCAGCACGGGCTCGCTGCTGAGGGGCATGGCGGAGGTGCGCGTGAGCGCCGTGGAGAATCTCTCCGCCAAGCTCTTCGTGCAGTGCTCTAGGCAACCTGGGCTCGTTGATGTGTACTGCAAGCTGCTCGATCATACCGGTGAGGAGGAGCAGTGGGTGGGTGGAATCTCCTCCGCAAGGTGTAGAGGGGTGAAGGATGAGCGCCGTGGAGAATCTCTCCGCCAAGCTCTTCGTGCAGTGCTCCCGGCAACCCGGGCTGGTGGATGTCTACTGCAAGCTGCTGGACCATACTGGTGAGGGCATACAGGGCACTGTCCAGGGCACTGTACACAGGGCACAGGTAAAGGGGTGAAGGGTGAGCGCCGTGGAGAATCTCTCTGCCAAGCTCTCCGTGCAGTGCTCCCGGCAACCGGGGCTTGTTGATGTTTACTGCAAGCTGCTCGACCACACCTGTGCGTTGGGGGTGGGCGGGGTGGAGGGCAGATAAAGGGGACGCATGGACGGGGGGAGTGGGGTAGAGGGGTAGAAGGGCAGTGCTGTGCAGTGTTCAAGGGTCGTGGATGTTTACTGCAAGCTGCTGGACCACACTGGTGCGTTGGGGTGGAGAGGGGTATAGAGGGGTAGGGTGTGAAGGAGAGTGCTCTTGGTACAGTGCGCGAGGCAGCTGGGGGTCGTGGATGTGTACTGCAAGCTGCTGGACCACACCGGTGCGTGGGGACGGACAGAGAGGGTAGAGGACAGCGTAGGGTAGGGGGCAGGGTGTAGGGCAGGGCGCCATGGATATGGTAGCGTAGCGCAAGGGGCACTGTGCTGCACATGAGTTGACTTTTAAGTCGACTCAAAAGTCAACTCGAGGGCAGGGTGTAGGGCAGGGCGCCGTGGATACGGTAGAGGATCAAGGGCGTGTGCGCATAGTGGGAGGGGCACTGCGCCGCACACTGCCCCCCTCCCTGTCCCCCTGCCTGCCCCACTCCCCTCTCGCATCCTCACCTATCGCCTATCGCCTCTCCTTTCTCCCCTGCCTCTTCAATCCACCTGCTCTCTACCTCACCTCCTCCTCCTTCCCTCTCACCCACCTCCCCGCTTCTCCGCATCCTTCTCACCCGTCCTGCTCATGTCCTCATGCGTTACCTTTCCCCGCCTCCCCTCTGCCCCTCCCCTCGCCTCCCTTCTCTCCCTCGCCTCGCCTCCCCCCAGACGAGGTGATCAACGTGAGAAGCTTCCCGTCGCTTGCCGGCCTGCCCTACGGCCTCGTGCGCAGGGGCTTCCCAGACGTGAGTTGACTCAGAAGCAGACTTATGAGTGTAATGAGTCTGCTTTTGAGTCGACTCAAAAGCCGACTCAAGAGTCGACTCAAAAGCAGTCCCAGACGTGAGTTGACTCAGAAGCAGCTCTGCTGAGTGTGGTTCAAGGCGCTGTGTGGATGATGCCTGTGAGTGTTTCCTTGTGTGCGATGAGAAGGTGCAGTGCTGTCTCTCGTCTCTGCTGACCTGCCCTAAAAACGTCAAGGTGAATCTCTGCTGATTTTTCCCTCGCTTCTTCCTCCTTTCCCTTCTTTTCTCCCCCTTTCGCCCACATCTTGCCCCATCCTTGCGCCTCACAGGCGGTGTGCTGCGGCATAGTGAGGGACGGCAAGGTGCAGTTCCACCCCAAGGACACCGACCCTATGCAGCGCACCGATAAGGTGTGAAGAGCGGTTTGTTTGTGACTCGCTATGGTGGGATAAAGTGATGGCAAGGTGCAGTTCCACCCCAAGGATTTTGACCCCATGCAGCGCACCGATAAGTGTGGAGAGCGGTGGGATGCGGTGAGAGGGATATCAGAACTCAAGCCAGAACAAAAAAATGGGTAATGAGCTCAGGGTTCGTAAATACTAAGGGTGGGCTTGGTGCGATTCCTCTTCCTTCCTCTTGTATCACAACATCCGATTCTATCACTTTCAAGCACACACACCGCCACCCAACCCCAGCGCTCATGCTGCAAGCAGCGCAGATCAGGCAGAAGCAGGAGAGAAGCCTAGGGGAGTGGGGTCACTGGCCTCTCACTCTCCTTCCCTTGTCTCTCCGCCTTCCTCCCCATCCACATGCCACCACCAGTTGATGCTGATAGCCCTCAAGCACACGCACCGCCACCCCCCACCAGCACTCATGCTGCAGGCAGCTCAGATCTGACAAAAGCAGGAGAGCAGCGCGGGGGAAGTGAGATATCTTCCCTCCGTCTCTAGAAAACCTCTCACTCTCGCCCCTCCCTGCCCTTTTCTTGTCTCTCCCGACCTATCCACATGCCACCACCAGTTGATGCTGATAGCCCTCAAGCACACGCACCGCCACCCCCCACCAGCGCTCATGATGCAAGCAGCGCAGATCCGGCGAAAGCAGGAGAGCAGCCGATTGGGACGGGAGGGGCGCGGGGGCGGTTCGAGCGAGGCGATGGTGCGGGTGCACAGGGACTCGGCGCTAAAGACAAGAGATGCCGGCCAGTTCAAGGTGAGGGGAGGAAGGTTTGGTGGTGGGCTGACGAGGTCAGGCTGTGCAGCATTGGTCTCGCCATGTCAGCGTATCAGCATATCGGCGTATCAGCATATTACCGTATCAGCGTATTAGCGTATTAGCGTATCAGCGTATCAGCGTATGAGCGTATCAGCGTATCAGCGCATCAGCGCATCAGCGTATCAGTGTATTAGCCTATCAGCCTATCAGCGTATCAGCATAGCAGCGTAGCAGCGCATCAGCGCATCAGCGTATCAGTGTATTAGCCTATCAGCCTATCAGCGTATCAGCATAGCAGCGTAGCAGCGCATCAGCGCAACAGCGTATCAGCACGAGTTTGACGTCTATGTGGGGCCTCTCTTGCACCCCATTGCCCTCACCAACTTCCAACTCCCCTCTCCCTCCATGCAGCCTAACGAGCCGGCAGCGAGGGCGGAGAGAATGGTGATGCTTGGGTGGAGGACAGGCGTGCCGGACATGATCCGAGAGTTTGACGATTATGTGGGGGCGGGCAGCGAGCTGGTCATTCTGGCCGAGGAGAGCCTGGAGGAGAGGGAGCAGCAGCTGGCGAGAATGCTGCGCACTCCCCTCAGGAATCTCACTGTGGTGCACAAGGTGCGTATGAGCATGAATACCGAACAGACAGAGGTGAGCAGGTGGACAGTTTGATGACTATGTGGGGGCGGGCAGCGAGCTGGTCATTCTGGCCGAGGAGAGCCTGGAGGAGAGGGAGAGGCAGCTGGCCAGAATGCTGCGCACTCCCCTCAGGAATCTCACGGTCGTGCACAAAGTGTGAGTCGGTTGAGCGTATAGGTGCACGCATGATTGCTGAATGGCTGGTAGCGCATTTCTGTGCCTAGCAACATGCAACCCAATGCGCCACTCCTTCCCCATGCCCCATACCATCCACACGCACCTTGTGTGTCCCCACCCCTCTTCCATCCACCTCTTCCCCCTCCCTCCCCCCGACCAGGTGGGCAACCCAATGAGTCGCACGGACCTCACAGACGCCATTTTGGACCCGGGCAGTGTGTTCCACCCCTTTGTGTCCGCCGGCGGCGGAGTGTTGAGCTGTCCCTTAGTGTGTCATTCACTCCACATACTTTTCCTTGTGTGCCACCTACCCTCTCCCTTCCCCCCTCCCAGGTGGGCAACCCCATGAGTCGCACGGACCTCACAGACGCCATCCTGGACCCCGGCAGTGTGTTCCACCCCTTTGTGTCTGCTGGCGGAGACATGTTCTTTGACAACGTGCCCTTCTCCATCATTGTCGTCTCTGACCGTTCCTGGCACCACGGAGGTGTGTTGTAGGCTGTTAGGCCCCCTACATGCTTGAATGTCTAGGCTCTTTGTGTCGGCGGGCGGTGACATGCTTTTTGACAACGTGCCCTTCTCCATCATTGTCGTCTCCGACCGTTCCTGGCACCACGGAGGTGCGTCCTAGCCCTGTCACCACAACATTAAGGTGAGGGGGGTGCATGTCTGGCACCAAACAGGTGGGGGGCTGGTCCCGGGCAGTGTGTTCCACCCCTTTGTTTCGGCGGGCGGAGACATGTTCTTTGACAACGTGCCCTTCTCCATCATTGTCGTTTCCGACCGCTCCTGGCACCACGGAGGTGCGCGTGCATGTGTGTGTCTGCGCGCATGAGCATGTGTGTGTATGTGTGTGTGTGTGATGGCTGTTAGGCTTCATGTGGGCAGTGTCTTCCACCCCTTTGTGTCAGCGGGTGGTGACATGTTTTTTAACAACGTGCCCTTCTCCATCATTGTCGTTTCCGACCGCTCCTGGCACCACGGAGGTGGGTGGGTGCTTGTGTGCGTGTGCGCGTGTGCGTGCGTGATAGGCTTGGGCTTTAAGGCTTCATGCATGGGCTGGCGGTGACATGTTCTTTGACAACGTGCCCTTCTCCATCATTGTCGTTTCCGACCGCTCTTGGCACCACAGAGTTGCGCGTGTGTATGTGATGGGCTGTTAGGCCTGAGTTGGAAGTTTAGGCATCTATGCATGCGCCTGTGCACACATGTTCTTTGACAACGTGCCCTTCTCCATTATTGTCGTCTCCGACCGCTCCTGGCACCACGGAGGTGCGTGTGCGTGCGTTTGTGTGTGTGTGTAGGTGTGCGTTCGTGATGGTCTATTGGGCCCCTTGGGCTTGAATTCTAGGCGGCACCATGCATGGGTCTGTTCAAACATGTTCTTTGACAACGTGTCATTCTCCATCATTGCTGTTTGGGAACGTACGCTCCCGTTCCCAAGCGCTCCCGTTCCAAGCGCTCCTTACGCTGGGTCCTTTGCCATGCTTCTGTCCATGCCCTTTGCCATACCATGGCTTGTCATCTGATGCATACATCGATTATAACCACGCCCTAATGACTCATACCCATCATCCAAGCATCTTCCCTCCAACAAACACAACCACCATCCCCTCTCTCCTGCCCTCAGCCCGTCTCCCATGCACAAACAGAGCGCACCAAGCCAGACAAGCAGTCGCTCTACTCGCTGCTGCTGGCAAATCAATGCTCCCACGTGGGCCTGCATCCCCCTTCACCCCAATGCCTCCGACAAACCCCCTATCACCACCCCCTCCCCCCCATGCATCCACACAGGCCTGCACGCCCCTCCTTACCACTCATAACGACAACTCATCCCATCTCCCCCTCACCCTTCCCCTCTCCCATGCACAAACAGAGCGCACCAAGCCGGATAAGCAGTCGCTGTACTCGCTGCTGCTGGCGGAGTCAGTGTGCCGTGCCAACAAGATCAAGGTGCAGCCTCAAGGGGGTTGCTCGCATGCTAAGGGGAAATGGTTGCATGAGAAAGGGGGGGATATGATTGCATGCCAAGGTCAGCCGGACAAGCAGTCGCTGTACTCGCTGCTGCTGGCGGAGTCGGTGTGCCGTGCCAACAAGATCAAGGTGCTTGCCCAACGGGATTGCTCCCTTGCTAGGAGGGGTTGCCATGCTAGGGGGGTTGCCTGTGTGCGGGGGGGGTTTGCTGGCGTGTTCAGGGGTTGGCTGCATGCAAATGAAGCTTTTCCGCTGCTGGTTGAGTCAGTTTGCCAACAAGATCAAGGTATGCACTCTCTCCCCCAGTAGGTCTCTTCCAGAGACAAGTGAAGACAAGCAGTCGCTGTATTTGCTGCTGCTAGCGGAGTCGATGTGTTTGCCAACAAGATCGAGGTATGCACTTTCTGATTCTGATTCTGCGGGAGGGAACTGAGGGAGGAAACTGAGGGAGGAAACTGAGGGAGGGAACTGAGGGAGGGAACTGAGGGAGAGAACTGAGGGAGAGAAATGAGGGAGAGAACTGAGGCAGAGAACTGAGGGAGAGAACTGAGGAGGGAACTGAGGGAGGAACTGAGGGAGGAACTGAGGGAGGAACTGAGGGAGGAACTGAGGGAGGAACTGAGGGAGGGAACTGAGGGAGGGAACTGAGGGAGAGAACTGAGGGAGGGAACTGAGGAGGGAACTGAGGGAGAAAACTGAGGGAGGAACTGAGGGAGGAACTGAGGGAGGAACTGAGGGAGGAACTGAGGGAGGAACTGAGGGAGGAACTGAGGGAGGGAACTGAGGGAGGGAACTGAGGGAGGGAACTGAGGGAGAGAACTGAGGGAGAGAACTGAGGGAGAGAACTGTGGGAGAGAACTGAGGGAGAGAACTGAGGGAGGGAACTGAGGGAGGGAACTGACGGAGGGAACTGAGGGAGAGAACTGAGGGAGAGAACTGAGGGAGAGAACTGAGGGAGAGAACTGAGGGAGAGAACTGAGGGAGAGAACTGAGGGAGAGAATTGAGGGAGAGAACTGAGGGAGGGAACTGAGGGAGGGAACTGAGGGAGAGAACTGAGGGAGAGAACTGAGGGAGAGAACTGAGGGAGAGAACTGAGGGAGGGAGCTGAGGGAGGGAACTGAGGGAGAGAACTGAGGGAGAGAACTGAGGGAGAGAACTGAGGGAGAGAACTGAGGGAGAGAACTGAGGGAGAGAACTGAGGGAGAGAACTGAGGGAGAGAACTGAGGGAGAGAACTGAGGGAGGGAACTGAGGGAGGGAACTGAGGGAGGGAACTGAGGGAGGGAACTGAGGGAGGGAACTGAGGGAGAGAACTGAGGGAGAGAACTGAGGGAGAGAACTGAGGGAGAGAACTGAGGGAGAGAATTGAGGGAGAGAACTGAGGGAGGGAACTGAGGGAGGGAACTGAGGGAGAGAACTGAGGGAGAGAACTGAGGGAGGGAACTGAGGGAGGGAATTGAGGGAGAGAACTGAGGGAGGGAAATGAGCGAGGGAACTGAGGGAGGAACTGAGGGAGGGAACTGAGGGAGAGAACTGAGGGAGAGAACTGAGGGAGAGAACTGAGGGAGGGAGCTGAGGGAGGGAACTGAGGGAGGGAACTGAGGGAGAGAACTGGGGGAGAGAACTGAGGGAGGAACTGAGGGAGGAACTGAGGGAGAGAACTGAGGGAGAGAACTGAGGGAGAGAACTGAGGGAGAGAACTGTGGGAGAGAACTGAGGGAGAGAACTGAGGGAGAGAACTGAGGGAGAGAATTGAGGGAGAGAACTGAGGGAGGGAACTGAGGGAGGGAACTGAGGGAGAGAACTGAGGGAGAGAACTGAGGGAGGGAACTGAGGGAGGGAATTGAGGGAGAGAACTGAGGGAGGGAAATGAGCGAGGGAACTGAGGGAGGAACTGAGGGAGGGAACTGAGGGAGAGAACTGAGGGAGAGAACTGAGGGAGAGAACTGAGGGAGGGAGCTGAGGGAGAGAACTGGGGGAGAGAACTGAGGGAGAGAACTGGGGGAGAGAACTGAGGGAGGAACTGAGGGAGGAACTGAGGGAGAGAACTGAGGGAGAGAACTGAGGGAGAGAACTGAGGGAGAGAACTGTGGGAGAGAACTGAGGGAGGAACTGAGGGAGGAACTGAGGGAGGAACTGAGGGAGGAACTGAGGGAGGAACTGAGGGAGGGAACTGAGGGAGAGAACTGAGGGAGAGAACTGAGGGAGAGAATTGAGGGAGAGAACTGAGGGAGGGAACTGAGCGAGGGAACTGAGGGAGGGAACTGAGGGAGGGAACCCGTAACCCCGCATCCCCGAATCCCCGCATTCCCGCATTCCCGCAGTCCCTCGCATCCCCGTATCTTCGTTTCCCCGTCTCCCTGTTTCCCCGTCTCCCCGTCTCACCACACCAGTCCTGCCTGCCCCATGCTTGCAGATGCAGTGTGTCGCACTCAACCGCTTGTCCCGTCGTCCCCATCCTGTGCCCCATGCAGGTGCAGTCTTTGAACGCAGAGCTAGAAGACAACCGTCTGGGGCGCGAGGTGGGTGGTGTGCGGTGGAGTGCGGTGTAGGGGGTTTATGAGGGCCATCACGCAGGTGCAGTCTCTGAACGCGGAGCTAGAAGACAACCGTCTGGGGCGCGAGGTGGGTTGTGTGCGGTGGGGTGCGGTATAGAGGGGGTAGAAGGATCATCACGCCCCTGCCAGTTTGGTATGAGGTTGGGACAGGGGAGCCGGATGCCATCATCACAACTTATGCTATCATGTCACGCGCTTTCATGCTGCCCCCCCTTGCTCCCCCGCAGGTGGTGGGCAGCCATCCATCGCTCACCTACATCGGCACGTCTGACCTCATGCCCTCATGCCATCATCATACCATGCTCTACTCCCCTCACGTGCTCCCCCCCAGGTGGTGGGCAGCCATCCATCGCTCACCTACATCGGCACGTCTGACCTCATGGGGCTAGTCACCTCACAAGGTACAATTTTTTAAGGCTATTACCTCACAATGTGTGTATGTGGTGTCCACTCGACTCAAGGCGTATGGACTGGTCATGTCACTCATTGGATGTCCTTGTGCCAGAATTTCAGCTGTGCATGCATAATACCCACATAATGTGCATATGATGCTCCGCTGATTCATGCACTAGTGCGCCATATCACATGCTCCCTGTCTCCTCCCTTCCCTACCGTCTCTCCTCTCCTCTTCTGCTCTCTTCCAAACTCATCTCTCGCCCCCATTCCACCACCTCACTCCCCCCCTCCCCCGCAGTGACGGAGCATGCGGAGTTGAACGCCATCTGGACAGAGCTGCTCAATTCGTGGGGAGACGAGATCTATGTCAAGCTGTGAGGTGCTCATTCCGTCTTTCCCACTCCCCTCTCCCCCCCCATTCTCACATCCCACACCTCCCTGCAGTGACGGAGCATGCGGAGTTGAACGCCATTTGGACAGAGCTGCTCAACAGCTGGAGGGAAGAAGATCCACGTAAAGGTGTGGGGTGCTCAGTCCGTCCCTCCCTCTCTTCCCCTCGTTCCCTCACCCCCACCATAACTCCTCCCAGTAACGGAACATGCGGAGCTGAACGCCATCTGGACAGAGCTGCTCAACAGCTGGGGGGACAGAGACCTATGTCAAGTCAACATGTAGGGGGAAGCGGGACTCGCCAATGTGTGGCGCTCATCCTTCCTCCCGTTCTCTGCCCTCTGGCCCCACACCCACCCCGCTCCTCCCAGTCACGGAGCATGCAGAGCTGAACGCCATCTGGACGGAGCTGCTCAACAGCTGGGGGGACGAGATCTACGTCAAGGTGAGATTTCAATGCGATGGTATTTTTACCTCACGGTGGGTGAGGGACGAGAAATTCGTCGAGGTCAGTGCAGGATGAATGCCATATAAGGGTCAAGGTGTGTGGGAATTGTCCCTGTATGTGATTCCGGGGGAGAGCCCCACGTTCAACGAGTTGGCGGAGAGGGCGGTGCAGCGGGGGGAGGTGCCCACCGGGTATCGGCACAATGACACCACGTTCATCAACCCGTGCCCCAAGAACGTGCCACTATGAGTACCTCTCCATTGAGTAAATGAAACCATGCATTCGCCCTCAACCCATCAATCCCCCATCCCACTCCAATCCCCCTCACCAGGACGCGTCCCTGTATGTGAGTCCGGGGGAGAGCCCAACGTTCAACGAGTTGGCGGAGAGGGCGGTGCAGCGGGGGGAGGTGGCGATAGGGTATCGGCGCGGCAACACCACTGTCATCAACCCCTGCCCCAAGGATGTGCCACTTGAGTTCGGGCCAGAGGACAGTCTCGTGCTCATTTCGGAATACGGCTAATTTATTTATTTTCAAGAGTTGATTTTGTGTTTTAGGTATGTGGCGTGTGTCTAGGCTTGACAGTGTTGTACTCATTAAAGCATAATCTGAAATGGAGTTATTTGTTGGCAAAACGTCATTCAAAATATCGCCTTGTAACATGTTCCGAGGTGGTGGAGCTGCCATTCTCTCGGATTCGCGAGTTTCGCAAACCCCTCTCCCCAGCACCTTACACCTCTTCATTCCCCTCCCCAAACTTTGACACTCCGCAGTGCCATCCACTAGTGTCCGTCCCTCCCGCTGGCCCGTCGATTTTTGAACGCTATATTAGTAGTACCGATCCCCTTTATAATCAGGGCTGCTGCTCCTACCCATCGAGCTAACGTAAGTTGTCGACCGAAAAGCACGTGGCTTTCTGGCGGCGCTGGGACTCTGGGTAGCAGCTGTTACCACCCTTTCTGCTGGCACTGAGACTTTGGGTAGCAGCTGCTAGATTCAGCGAGCAGGGCAGCAGACGGGGCGAGCGAGCGTGAAAGCTACCCGGGGGGGAGGAGATACGCACGAGGGTGAGATTTGCAAGAGCCGGCAGTGAAGCACACCGGGGAGCAGAACACGCTGCGCCAACATGCCGAAATCGAAACGCAATCGAATGGGTACGCACGATAGGTTGCCGCCTTTATCCGGATTCTTTGTTTTTGTTAAAGGGTAGGTCATCGCTGTAATCGGTTTCCTCGCCTAATCGCGTCCTTCTCTTACGGCGTTCTGTTTTCAGAATTTACACGCGCACAACTGCGCGCCGAGTTCCCCCCCTCTCTCTCCTCCTCCCGCGCCTCCTCCCCCTTCTGGTCCGGCCGTTGCAGTGACTCTATCGTGCCTCCGTCACACCACCCCCCTCTCCCGTCCCATTCCCCGCTCGCAGTGACTCTATCGCGCGTGACTAAGAAGGGGCGCGAGCAGAAGGAGTCTCTTGTGGAGGCGGTGCTGACAAGCGAGACGACTCAACCTCAGGCTGCTTCCCCCTCTCCCCTCGCTCCACCCCCCTTACCCTCACTAACCGTCCCCCGCAGTGACTCTATCGCGCGTGACTAAGAAGGGGCGCGAGCAGAAGGAGTCGCTAGTGGAGGCGGTGCGAGCAGCGGTGGAGGAGTATTCCGACGTCTATGTCTTTGAGTTCGACAACATGCGCAACACCAAACTCAAGGAGCTCAGAGACGAGCTAAAGGGTGCTTGCCGGTAAGCCATTAGCCTTAAAGCCCTGAACCCTGCATCGTTAAGCCCCCTGAGAGGGCACTGGATGTGCAGCAGCGGAGGATCAGTATTCGGACGTGTATGTGTTTGAGTTCGACAACATGCGCAACACCAAGCTCAAGGAGCTTAGGGATGAATTGAAAGGAGCCTGCAGGTAAGCCGCGAGCTCAGTAAACCCCAATCCATAAACCCCGGATTCTTAAAGCCCTGAATTAGCGACGGTGGAGGAGTAGTTGGACGTATATGTGTTCGAGTTTGACAACATGCACAACACCAAACTTAAGGAGCTCAGGGACGAGCTTAAGGGCGTCTGCAGGTAAGCCAGGAGTCTTAAACCCCTGAACCCTGTATTGTTAAGCCCTGAGAGGGCAGTGGATGGGCGGCGGTGGAGGAGTAGTTGGACGTGTATGTGTTCGAGTTCGACAACATGCGCAACACCTCACTGCGGTGGTGCAAACCCTCCCCCTGCTCCTCCTCTCACCCCGCTCTCCCCCGTCCCCCCGTCCTCCCTTACCCCCCAGGTTCTTCCTGAGGGCGAACAAGGTGCTGCAGATGGCGCTGTTTCCCCCAGCCGTCCCCCACCCCCGTCCCCTCTCCCCCTCAATCCGCTTCCCCAACTCGTCCGCCTCTCCCCTTCTTCCCCCCCGCCCCGCAGGTTCTTCCTGGGGGCGAACAAGGTGCTGCAGGTGGCGCTGGGGAGGGACAAGGCCACGGAGCAGAGGGAGGGTTTGCACCGGTGCAGTGAGGTGAGATGGGAGATGTGAGGGGTGCTGCACGGTGATGAGGGGTGGAGATGAGGGAGGGGCAAGGCCTTGGAGCAGAGGGAGGGGCTGCACCGGTGCAGTGAGGTGAGAGGGGAGGGGGGAGGGATGCTATGCGGTGATGAGGGGTGGTGATGAGGGAGGGACAAGGCCTTGGAGCAGAGGGAGGGGCTGCACCGGTGCATTGAGGTGTGACGGGAAGGGGGAGGGATGTTGTGATGGGAAGTGGAGACACAGAGGTGGGATGGGAAGGAGCGGATGTTTTTTTTTAGAATTCTCAAAAAACATACGGAAGGAGTGGATGGGGGGACAACGGAGCACAGGAAGGAGCTGGACTGGACGGGTGCAGTGAGTGGGCGATGGGGTAGGGGTTAGGCCGGTGGTGTGCGGTGATGAGGAGTGGAGATGAGTGGCCAGCAGAGCAGGGTGCGGGGCTACACCGGTGCAGTGTGGTGAGGATGTGCGTGATTAGATGCAGTACGGTGATGGGGTGTGGATTTAGGTTGGTGGGTAAGTGTGCGACATCTTCCTATGTATGCATTGATGCCAACCCATGTGTGTATTTGCTGCTGTCAGCGTATCTCCTCCCTTCCAGCAATTCCCTCCGTCTTCTTATCACTCTGCTTCCCTACTCTCTCTCTTTCCCTGTTTCCCTGCTCTGATTTGTTCTGCTTCTCACTCCTGGTGTGTTATTTCACTTTTGAGAATTCTCAAAAGTAAAATTCACGTACCCTGCTCTGATTTGTTCTGCTTCTCACGCCTGGTGTGTTATGGCAGCTAATAGAAGGGCACCGAGGGCTGCTCTTCACGTCGCTTCCCAAGGAGCAGGTGGAGAAGTGCGTTGGGGGTGGAGCGGGGGAGGGGGGGAAAGGAGAAAGGGAAGGGGATGGGTTGGGGTAAAGGAAGTAAGGATGGGGAAGGGGAAAGGGAATAGGGACAGGCCCTCCAAACGGCTGCTTTTCACCTCTCTGCCCAAGGAGCAGGTGGAGAAGTGCGTTGGGGAGAGAAGGGGGAGGGGGAGGGATAGGGGGAAAGGGAAGGGGAAAAGAGAGGGGGAAAAGGGAGAGAGTGAGGGCCACCGAGGGCTGCTCTTTACGTCGCTGCCCAAGGAACAGGTGGAGAAGTGCGTTGGGGGGAAGCGGTGAATGGGACGGGAAAAATTTAAGGGTGTAGGCATGAGGGCGGAAGTGAGGCGCATGAAGAGGTGGGTGGGAGGAAGAGGGCGCTATAAGCTAGTGAGGGGTTGAGAGTTGAGCTAGTGGGAGGAAGAGGAGGGGGAAAGGAGTGTGCAACTGTTACTGGGCGTATGCTGCCTGCACATCTTGATCCCTCCTTGAGGCACCTCAAAAGCGCAAGAAAGTCAAAAGCGCAGGGGGTAAAGGGTGTGGAAGTGTTATTGTGCTTCTGCTACAGATGTTGCTTCATCCATCCTCTTCACCTCTCATCACTGCCCCCCCACCTTTTTCCATTCACCCCTCATCACCATTCCCCTTCAACACACCAGGCGATTAAACGAACTAGCGGAACCAGATTTTGCGCGCACGGGCAGCATCGCCACGAGCACGGTGGAGCTCCCAGAGGGGCCATTAACCCAGTTCAGTCATGACATGGAGCCGTTCCTCAGGAAGCAGGGCATGCCCGTGCGGCTCAACAGGGGTACGAGAGAGGGTGCGATGGGGTGCAGTGCAGTGGGTGCGGTGCAGTTGGGTGTTTGTGTGCTTCAGCAGGTGTGCAGCTCCCAGAGGGACCACTCACCCAGTTTAGTCATGACATGGAGCGGTTCCTCAGGAAGCAAGGCATGCCCGTGCGGCTTAATAGAGGTATGGTGCAGTGCGGTAGGGTGCGGTGCCATTGGGCACCCAGAGGGGCCGCTAACCCAGTTCAGCCATGTCTTGGAGCCGTTCCTCAGGAAGCAGGGCATGCCCGTGCGCCTTAACAGAGGTGAGTGGGGTGTGTGTTGCAGTCTTTGCACCTTACGCAACTTGGTCCATGCGCGCGCCTTGGTCCACGAGCGCGCCTTGGTCCACGAGCGCGCCTTGGTCCACGAGCGCGCCTTGGTCCACGAGCGCGCCTTGGTCCACGAGCGCGCCTTGGTCCACGAGCGCGCCTTGGTCCACGAGCGCGCCTTGGTCCACGAGCGCGCCGTGGTCCACGGGCGCGCCTTGGTCCACGGGCGCGCCTTGGTCCGGGGGCGCGCCTTGGTCCGGGGGCGCGCCTTGGTCCGGGGGCGCGCCTTGGTCCGGGGGCGCGCCTTGGTCCGGGGGCGCGCCTTGGTCCGGGGGCGCGCCTTGGTCCGGGGGCGCGCCTTGGTCCGGGGGCGCGCCTTGGTCCGGGGGCGCGCCTTGGTCCGGGGGCGCGCCTTGGTCCGGGGGCGCGCCTTGGTCCGGGGGCGCGCCTTGGTCCACGAGCGCGCCTTGGCTCGGGGGCGCGCCTTGGTCCGGGGGCGCGCCTTGGTCCGGGGGCGCGCCTTGGTCCGGGGGCGCGCCTTGGTCCGGGGGCGCGCCTTGGTCCGGGGGCGCGCCTTGGTCCGGGGGCGCGCCTTGGTCCGGGGGCGCGCCTTGGTCCGGGGGCGCGCCTTGGTCCGGGGGCGCGCCTTGGTCCGGGGGCGCGCCTTGGTCCGGGGGCGCGCCTTGGTCCGGGGGCGCGCCTTGGTCCGGGGGCGCGCCTTGGTCCGGGGGCGCGCCTTGGTCCGGGGGCGCGCCTTGGCTCGGGGGCGCGCCTTGGTCCGGGGGCGCGCCTTGGTCCGGGGGCGCGCCTTGGTCCGGGGGCGCGCCTTGGTCCGGGGGCGCGCCTTGGTCCGGGGGCGCGCCTTGGTCCGGGGGCGCGCCTTGGTCCGGGGGCGCGCCTTGGTCCGGGGGCGCGCCTTGGTCCGGGGGCGCGCCTTGGTCCGGGGGCGCGCCTTGGTCCGGGGGCGCGCCTTGGTCCGGGGGCGCGCCTTGGTCCGGGGGCGCGCCTTGGTCCGGGGGCGCGCCTTGGTCCGGGGGCGCGCCTTGGTCCACGCGCGCGCCTTGGTCCACGCGTGCGCCTTGGTCCACGAGCGCGCCTTGGTCCACGAGCGCGCCTTGGTCCACGAGCGTGACTTGGTCTCCCTTCTAGTGGGGAGGGGTCAACGGGGTTTAATGCGGGGAAATGAGGGTTTATTCGAGGGCATGGCAAGGCAGCAGGCACGACTGCAGAGATCGAAATCGCCATGCGAATGGTGCCCTTTTTCGGCAAGGGCTCTGCCATGATTGATTTACTCGTCCGCCCTTCTGTAACTCCCCTTTATGCTGTCCCCCTCTCTGTGCCTTCCACATTAATCCTTTTCCTCCTGTGTGCTTTCCCCTTGTCTGCTTTCCCCTTTTCTGCCTTCCCCCTTTCTGCTTTCCTTGTTTGCTTTCCCCGTTTCTGCTTTCTTCCTTTCTGCCTTCCCATTCCTGCTTCCCCCCTCTTGTCTCCGCACTGTGATTATACCAGGAGTGACTGATCTGGTGGCTGACTTCACAGTGTGGACACAATTCCAACGACCCCCCCCCCCACCCTTCTCCCCCTCTTTTCCGCCCGCACTGTGACTATACCAGGAGTGATTGATCTGGTGGCTGACTTTACAGTGTGCACTGAAGGTCAACCGCTCTCCCCTGAAGCTGCCACCATTTTGGTACGCCGCTCTATCAATCCCACGCGACCATTTGCTGCTCATTGCCGTTCAGCATTGTAAAGCGTAGTCTCACCTTCCATTGACCCTGCTTTCTATCGCACTTGACTTGAATTCACACATTTCCTGGGTGATAGATGGCTGTCTTTAGGCTGCATCTGCTGGGTTCTGGACGGACGGCTCCTATTCGTGTCAACTTCTCTCCTGTTCTCTCACCTTCCATCCCTATCCCTCCTTCCCTTCTCTGCTTGTCCAGCGATTACTGGGAGGAAAGGTGGCAGTCTTTCGGCTGCATCTGCTGGCGCGCTGGACGGACGACAACTATTCATCTCAACTTGTCTCCTGATCCCTCGCCCTGTCTTTGCATCCCTCTCCCTCTTTCACTTCTCTGCTTGTCCAGCGGTTATTGAGAAAGAAGATGGCAGTCTTACGGCTGCATCTGCTGGCGTGCTGGACTGACCACTCCTCTTTCTGTAAACTTGTCTCCTGTTCTCTCACCTGGTCTTTCCACCCCTAACCCTCCCCTTCTTTCTATACTTGTCCAGCGGCTATTGGGAGAAAAAATGGCAGTCTTTCGGCTGCACCTGCTGGCGCGCTGGACGGACGGATCTTTTGAGCTGCTGCCAGCTGGCGAGGCGGCAGCCAAGGCGGCCAATGGGAAGGGCAGCAAGGGAGGGTTTGTGGAGGGGTTTGTGGAGGATTCAGATGAGGAGGGGAGTGAGGAAGATGAAGGGGAGGAGGACGGGGGTGGTGAGGAAGAAGCCGCTGCTTAGCAGTTTATGTATGCTTTTTTTGGAAAAAAAAACAAAACACAAGTAAAAACACAAACAAAAGCATTGGTGATTGTTTACAAGGTTGTTGAGGTGAATCTTCCAAACATGAACGTGTATGGGTGTGTCTCCATTTATCATTACCCCCTTTACAGATGTAGATTTGAAGGCCCCTATTTCACTACTGCTTTCCCATGAAACGTCAGATATCCAGAGCCACCGTTCACACAAATCGGGCCGTCGCTTCTGAAACCCTCGGTTCTTTCCCTCGATCTCAACCGTCGATCATCTGCTGGAGAATCTCCCTTGAACGACACGGATAGGGACTTGAGTCGAGTGACACGGATAGGGCGTGCGACTCAGACAGCGGCTCAGACTGGCGGTGGCGGTGCGCTGTGTTGTGTGGCCTGCAGGTCTCCGCATTCATGGCTGCAGGTCCGCGCAGGTCCGCAGAACCAGTCACGCCACGCACTTCGCTTTGTTGCACTTACCTATCCTATCCCACCTAACTACTTATCTCCTCCTGCTCTCGCACCTTCCTTGACCTGGCGTCACGCAAGCGCGCGCGACCAAGCGTCCCTGATGCTGCAATTACGCACCTGCTACTTTTCACACGCCATGGATTCGCCTCTCGCACCCCAGCCTCCATAATAATATTCGCAAGCATGCAGGTAGTCAGTTTGCCCCTCAAGTCCGCGCGTTAACTTGAAGGCAACTCTTTAACCTAAGCTGACTTTGCTTAATAGCACCTGGTTCAGTGCTACCAGCTTATCTTTCAGCCCTTTCATCGGAAGAACAAGAGAAGAAACGATGGAGAGCGAACAAATCACGATTCTCATCCCGCCGAAACCGGAAGCCGGAACCTACATGCTCGATGGGCAAACCGGAGCTTTTCTGACTGCTGCGACAGACAACCAGCTCGCGAAACCACGGCGAAGCAGCCCTTCGTCGCACCGATTCACTCCGCGATTTCTCGTGGGGCGAGTGCTGGGCGAAGGAGCGTACGGCGTGGTGGAGATTTGCCACGAGAGGCGCTCTTGGAACTCGCCACGTGGCAGCCCGAGGGTACACCTGTCTCCTTCTTCCGCAGCACCTGGTCAAGAATGCGCGGAGTCCACAATTTGCCGTTTTGTTAATGGCGACGTCCACGCAGTCGAAAGTGGCGACGTTGGCGAAGCTTTCGCATGCAAGACGGTGGAACGAGCAGGAAACAGCGAGGAGACGTGGAAGGCGAAAGCGACAGCATTAAGGAGAGAAGGCAAAGTGATGCGACACCTAGGTAAACACCCAAACATCGTGGAATTGAAAGGCGTGTACGACAGCAACGACCGCGTGCGACTGGTGATGGAGCTGTGCGACCGTGGCGACTTGCTCTCTCTGCTCTTGGGCAAGAAGAATTTCATTCAATCCGTGGAACAGCAGCAGAAGCCGAAACACCGGACATCCGAGTCGTCTTGGCCGTCACTGAAGAAACTATCTTCGTTCTGCAGATCAAGCTTTAAAAACAGATCCGGTGAACGACCAACTGGTCTTCCTGAACACCTGGTGGCTGGCATATTTTGGCAGCTAGTGACAACTGTGCAGCATTGCCACTCGCACCGTGTTGTCCATCACGACATCAAGCTGGAAAATGTGCTGCTGACGTCAGCTTCTCCAGCTTCCAAGCTCTCTGGAACAGGCACGTGTCCTTTTACAGTGAAGCTGGCGGATTTTGGCACAGCAACTATCCTCAAACCGGGCCTGGATTTTACGATGGGAAATGTCGGGAGCGCTGCGTATAAAGCACCTGAAGTCTCTCAAGACAGCTGTCACGGCACGCCGGCTGATGTTTACAGCCTCGGGGTTGTCCTGTATGCGCTCCTAACCTCCACGTTCCCGAATTTTGATGCGAGCAAAGGCACGGTTGCACACAAGAATCCACAAGACTTCATTGATAATGAGTTGACAGTGCATCTTTCATCAGGTGTCAAGCAGCTGATTGCCTCAATGCTCACTGTGGATCCTGCAAAAAGACCCACATGTTCACAAGTGCTGGAGCATTCATGGGTGCATGGGGGCAGAGGAAGTTGCTGACATGTCACAGAGGTACCACTAACCTACTCTCACAGGCACTGACACACGTCCATCGAGATGGTCGACATGATGGTACAGGTGTTGGACTGTAGAGATTCACCTGTACATACACTATAATTGAGTGCTGCATTGGATCCTTGGTTAACATGTGTTTCCTTAGCTCAGCAGGGTGTTTGTGGATTCAACATCTACAACATTCAATAAACATTCATTTCTCCATGATAAACTTAGGTATGATAATCTACTCATGGATGAACCAGAGTGGTTATCTAGGCAAAGAAGAGCTTGAGTTTGCTTGGACGGTTTGCAAGGTGGCGAAACCAAACCTTGGTACTTCACAGAGCATGGTAATATTTTCTCACAAAAGAGGTCCCAAATAGGGCACCTGACATTCTTACCCCACCTAGAAGTCCATACTGTACGTGATAACATTCATGAGCTCTAGTAGCAATCATGAATACTAATAATCCCCACCCCACTCTCCCCCCCCCAAATAAAGGAAAAAGGGAACCGTACAGCAAGCCTTCAGCTCGGTAGGTGCACCCTAGCGGTTTTCACACCCCAAGCTGTTCATACATCAATGCCTATTGACAAGCAGCACATAGGAACACTCGCGAAATGCCGTGTAGACTGTAAACTACGGTTGTAGATTTCTACGGTATCTTGAAATGCTCCATGATCAATACTCCATTGACGGCAATTTCCCTCCTTTGGCCAAAATCTTCCGTTCCAGCTGGAAGGGCATGAATGAACATGGGAGGCACAGGGTAAAGCAAAACGGTGACAGTTGATCAGGCAGAGATGGAGGGATTGGAAGGCTGGAATACCATGTAGAAGCAGAATTCAGTGAATTAGTTGTGTGTGACAAGGATCGGGCGGAATCAAACAGCAACGTAAGCACAGAGTAGGCATGACAAGATAGTACAGATGGACGACCCATGATGGGATGACAGTGAGATGAGGGAACAAAATCAGCCCACGCTGAGAGGGAGGCACTAAAAGGAGCAGGTAGGGACTTTAGAGTAAGAGGAGGGTGCAGATGAGAAGTTAATGCACAGACAAAAGGTGCACGCACTGTGTTACCAAAACAAGCACACCAGACACAAGACAGCAGCATGCCAAAATGAGACTAGCACTGCAGGGACTCCAAGTTACAGGCACGTTACTGTGCTCCCTCACAACCACAGTTTGCACGCCTCAGACGAACATCAAGACACCCAAGGCAGTGTGCTGTATAATTTGTAGCTTATACTCATCGACATCACCTATAGGAGGAAACTTTTGGGCGCGATCCATGCGTGAATGGAAACACGGGAGTTAGGTGAAGTCAGATATTCTAAAAGCCCTTGACTTGCTCGCGAAAACACAGGACAGGAGCGGATGGAAGGGCAGCGCAGCTGACGCACGGTCTACGACAATGCAGATACGAATGCAAGCGCTTAGTGGGTATAAGTTACCGGAACATGCAACGACTTACCGACATCATGAGCTCCAGCTTGTCCTTCACAAGATTAAACTCATCCTTGATCTTGTCTAGCGAGCTCAAGCACCTGCATCATTGAGACAAAGATGTGACGTGACATAATAGTCGTCATGCGTGACGTTTAATCCCCATACAGCCCCAAACGACGCTATCCCAAAAATATACTTACTTCGCGCGGTTTCCTTCGTCGCAGTACCCTCTCATCTTGATGCATAATGCCTTCACTCGTTGTGCTCCAATGCTGCTCATGAACCAGATCTCAGTGACAAGACATCCAATAACGGCTGAAATATCGACGAAACACGCGTGAATCAACGTACCTCGAACTACTACCCTTGAACTGGTGCACATGCGCATCCACTTTCTTGAAGTCAATTGGGTCTTCGTTACTGCGGTTTACAGGCGGGTTCCAAAAGAGCATCGATTTCTTGCCGATAAAACTTAGTGGCACGTCGATGTTATTCTGGTCAAGTGAAATCTAATGTTTGCGCATGTTGCATAAGGAAGTACGGCGTTTCACTCACACTTCTTGAGTAAGGTCGTCCAGAAGCTTCACGGAGTCTTCAAAAAAAAGGCCAATGACCTCTCCGACGAACTCCGGATTGCTCTCGTCTTGCAATTGCTGAAGTTGGGTAAACTGATCATCGAGTATACCCTGGAAGCATCAGAACATTGTGAAGAAAGAGGCACACTTGCTATACTGCTGAACGTCGAGCTTGCGATGAGTAATCGTTTATAAAGGTATCGTATCGGGAGCATTAAAATACTCGCCACTGAGGAAAACCTCCTGGTGTGTACTCGCCGGGGAACAAACCCTCATCATCAATCCATGGTCAGTGACACCCAGCCGTAAACAAACATGGTGTCTATCTTACCTCAGCAAACATGCTGTCTGTAAGCTCTGTCAACTGCTTCGTTAATTTGGCGATTTCATCCTCCTTCGATGCCTTTTTGCTCCTGCGATACATAGTCGAAACCCTACAGCACCAACTACAGCAATCTCCCACCAATCAACTCCTCCCTAACTCGCGATGCAAAATGCAGCCTTCTATTCTACGTGATCCACAACCTAATGACGAAGTCCTCCGTTTCTAAGTTAAGAATGTGCATGTGCTGATGTCGAGCTGCAACGTTAGTGTCAAAGTTCAGAGAACATCCGCCATTGATGAGAGGTAGGTGACTAGAGAACAACCAGCAGTTTTCGCTGAGCGGAGTAGCGATGAGTGGGGGAGCAGCGGAGCGAAGGATGATGCGCAGGACCAACATGAGTACCTCAGGGATGCCACGCTGGACGTGTGCGAAAACATGTTACCACACGACGAATCACCCTCTCAAAGTTTCCTCGAGAATTCTCTTCCGTTTGAAGCAAGTGCACCATTTCAACATCAGCCTCGGAATAACAGTTTCACAGTTTCGGGGCATCTCAGCCGCACAGTTTCGTTCCGGCATAACTACTCTCTACAAGACATCATGTTTGCATGTAGCCACAACAAGATCCTCTTTTCTTGCGTCCACCACTTTACATCAGCAAACCTATCCACGTATTATGTGAATTTGCATGAAAAAAACAGCATTGTTGAGCTATGAAATCCATGCAGTCCAGTGCGAGGAGTTCCCGTACCATTTCCTGCGAACGAATTTTCAATCTATACTAGCCAGATGCTCCAGTTCCCCTACCCTCTCCTGTTCCTGGCTTTCTTCTTCTCCTTTCCTTGAACTTTGCCCATAACCATGTGCCAATCAAATAGGCGCCTAAAACATAAACCTGCACAGACCAACAAATGAGGAAATGGCGAAACTAATATGAAAAGCAGAACCTCGTAATCTCAATGTAAAATAGGCCTACACGCAAACTACAATATGAAACTATCCACCCTTGAACAGGGAACATGACCTGCCACCGTACCCTACCTGCCACATGCCACCTTACCTGCCACATGGCAGCCCCCTGCTTCTCCTCCTCTGGAACTGCGAATCCAACTGACAAGCTCTCTGGTTTCCGCACTGGCATGTGCACTATAGGGGGTCCATTGACTATCTCGGATTCTGGTAGAGATGCCGACACTGTAAAAGCCTCAGGCTGCGAGGAGGAAAGAGGCCATCAGAACGAAGATCAGACTTAATGATTGCCAATGTAAAGCTCTGTCAAACGGAGGAGAAAAGGGCACAGAGAATAGACATCAAACAGGCCTTGCGGTGCAAAGCCACACAGAACGACATTGAGATGGTTAAAATGAGGAAACAGTGCAAACCACCTATTACGTGGCTTGTGATGAGATGCTGTTCCATAGCAGTGAGTGAGACACCTGAGATGCACGATGCATGAGATGCTGCAATCATGCCAGCGGATGCATGAGATGCTGCAATCATGCCCATGCACACTACACAGACTTGAATGCCAAAAACTAACTCATGCACCCACCCCATTGCTGACACCAAAAACAGACATCCTGATGTTCACGCACAGTCTGTGCCATGCCCTTTGATTTATACAAGAAGCAAAATGCCAGAATACGCCGTACCTCAGAATTCCCCTGGCGAGGCAAAGATTCCTTGCTCCCTCCCTTATCTGCAGCAGCCATCGTGGAAGCTTCCCCCCCTCACAAGCCCAAGCCTGACTGCACTAAAATTGGACAAAACAAGGGGGTACAAACAAGAGCGGGGTTCTTGCTGTAGACATTCGCATACGAGTATGGGTGGCAGTGGCAGGTAGGAGAACGGGTCGGTGGGTGTTGAGTGTGGTTAGGAGGGGTGCGGCTGCGGTTAGGAGTGGTGCGGGTGTGTGCGTATGTGTGCACCTGCAAGGAAGTGAACAGTAGAGCTTCCGGAGCTTTATATGGGCTGATGCGTGTGCGCAAAGGCGTGCATACGGTGCTATACGATAGTCACTTTGAGGAATTCAACAAGAGCGCATGCAGTGCAGCACACCTGAGGGATACGTTTACTCAAAACGATCTAGTTTCTCCCACGTTCACCTTCAACTGTCTATCCCATGGACACACTAGCCCTAAAACAGGGAGGGAAGGGAGGAAAGAGGATGGAGGAGAGGGCCACGTGGTGAAGCACTGGGGACCAGTGTAAAAAACTACACAGCAGGCTCGTCCGACGAAAGAGGAAGACGGCGAGACAGAGGAAGAAGCGGCAAATAATAATTAAAAAAAAAAAAGAAATCAACGATCAGAAAGAAGAGGGACGAAGCGTCCCATAAGGTGCACGCGACTCGGAGAACAGGTCTATGAAACGCGGCGCGAGAAGCCAGCGATGATGTCATGAGGACGTCAGCGCTGACGCGGCAACGTCTGCGACAGCTTACGGTCGCGCTTCGAGTGTCCTGAGAACGGGTTGGGATGGCGGCGGTTCCGTTCGGAGGCACCTATAGACTCACAACACAAGGCGGATTTATGACTGACCTGGGAAATACGACGCAGGGTAGTGCGACCGTGAAGGCGGGTAGAACTGATCAGCGTGAATGAGCAGCGAGAGAGCACAAGCATCTGCGCATCCAGCACCGTTTATTTGAAGAAGGAATTACCATACAGGCATCACGGTCGCACTAGAGGAGCACCATTCCCTTTCAAAAAATCCCCGTCCTTTCCAACTCTGCGTGTTTCATTTAGGTGCACTAAGCAACAGACATTGTCTCCATCACTTGTGGAGTCCATCACTCCACTTCTGATTTTACAAGATACACGCGCTCTGAAATTGCCGAAAACGCCACAGCTGCACACGCCATGCCTCCTAACCTACACATCTGGCAACCCTGAAATGCCATTACGAATTTAGCCACCCTCCTCAACCCTGAAATGCCATTAAGAATTATTGCCCGGTGGAGTCACATCCCTATCAATCCTAACACTATCACTCCAAGTTCCTAGCACTGGGAAGTCGCACTGTGCACCGCTGCAACTGCCCTATGCTCGTAACCAAACCCATCCTGGCAACCATTCTGCTGCTGACAGAACCGGTGCGGCAGGCATGCTTTCAAATACGTCTCCAGCTGTTGCGTGTACAGCTCGGGGAATGTCCGGAAATGGTCCACATGCGGCGAACATTCAAATCGCATCGACATCACCCTGTGGCCCTGGGCCCGCTGCCCGAGGATGAAATTTTCGACAGCGGGCAGGGGAATGACAATGTCCGCTTCACTGTAGAAGTACAGCTGCGGGCAGTTGGGCTGGTGGTGGTGCAGAGTGTTGGTTATCTCACCAAGCTTCCTGGAAGATTCAATTCAGAAGACGGCAGAGAGGGTGAGGGGATTGGCAGGAGAGAGTTACGCAGGAATTTGACAAGAGTACAAGCGACAAAAGAGAGGGAGATAGAAGAATGGGTCAATAATCAAAGACATTCGGAGTTGATCAGGTCAGTGCGGCATGGCTATTCAACCATTCACGAGCTGGCTGGCAGTGGCAAGCACACTGAATGACTGACTGGCTGACTGAGTGAACTCACCCTTTGACGTAGGGGATGCGCAGAGCCACTTGGAAGATGAGCCAGAGAGCAGTGACCAGTAGGCTCTCCAGCTCACCCAGCTGCACCCCTCACCACCGCTACTCACCCTTTGACGTAGGGGATGCGCAGAGCCACTTGGAAGATGAGCCAGAGAGCAGTCACCAGCACACTCTCCAGAGCATCCAGCCGCACCTTCACCACCCTCACCACCGCCACTGCCTGACTAACTCACTGACTAGCTGACTGGGTGACTGCCTGACTGACTCAGACTGAACCCACCCTTTGACGTAGGGGATGCGCAGAGCCACTTGAAAGATGAGCCAGAGCGCAGCCACCAGCACACTCTCTAGAGCATCCAGTCGCACCTTCACCACCCTCACCACCGCCACTGCCTGACTGACTTACTGACTGACTGGCTGACTGACTAACAGACCAACTGACTGATTGATTGAACCCACCCTTTGACGTAGGGAATGCGCAGAGCCACTTGAAAGATGAGCCAGAGTGCCGTCACCAGCACACTCTCTAGAGCATCCAGCCGCACCTTCACCACCCTCACCACCGCCACTGCTACGCGCCCACACGCCCCCACCGCCCGCCCACACGCCTGCACTATGCCGCCCGCTGCCCCGCTCGCCCTGCCTCTCCCCCCTCGCTGCCACCACCGTTGCTGCCGCGGCTGCTGCTGCTGCTGCTGCTGCAAGTGAAGGCCACTCCCTTTCTCCTGCTCTCTCCTCAGCTCAATTCCCAAGACCAGCTTTCTCTCCTGCTTCTCTGCTTGCATCCTATACACAGCAATCAGCTGCTGCTGCAGCAGCCACTGCTGTTGATCCTGCTGAGACACCCCTGTAAAAGCGCATCCGTTAACACCACCGTCACCAATACCAGCACTAGCACCAGAACCAGTCCCTTGTCGCATGCCTCTATCCCCTCCACCACCTGCCACTGCCACCACAGCAGCAGCAGCAGCACTCCCCCTTGCCTTACTCCCACATGCCTTCAATCTCTCAGCCTCATCAGCCCGCCACCACACCAGCTTACACCCACAGGGAGCAGGCGAAGGAAACACCCCCTCCCCACCACCCATACCACCTTGCCCTTGCCCTTCTCCTTGCCCTTCCCCTTGCCATGTGCCCAGCCCCTCCATTCCTCCCTTCTCTTGCCCCAGCCCGGGGTAAAAACTCTCACAACTGCCGCTGCAGTCACTTCGGGATACAGTCACACTGGTGAACGCTGGAGCAGAGGCAGCAACAGCAGCAGATTCTACAGAGGCAGCACCCACAGCAGCAACACCACCAGCAGCAGTGATACCACCACCGCCACCGCCACCAGCGGTAGCAGCAGCAGAAGAGGAAGAGGCAGCGGGGAGGGTGCTGGCTTGCAGCAGCGCGGATTTGAGCTGGGAGCAACCGACGACAGAGTCAATGACAAGCGAGCCCATGCGCGTCGCTGCACTGCGCTTCTGCAGAATGGCCGCTGAGAAACCGCTCGCCCACACCTGAGAATGGGGAAAACGGATGGTGGGGAAGGTTGAGGGAGGGTGGAAGGTGAGGTGGGGCTAGGGAGGTCGGGGGAAGGGGTCAATGACAAGCGAGCCCATGCGCGTTGCTGCACTGCGCTTCTGCAGAATGGCTGCTGAGAAACCGCTCGCCCACACCTGAGGAAAAGGGGCAGAGGTGGTGAGGGAAGAAGAGGCAGCGGGGAGGGTGCTGGCTTGCAGCAGCGCGGATTTGAGCTGGGAGCAACCGACGACAGAGTCAATGACAAGGGAGCCCATGCGCGTTGCTGCACTGCGCTTCTGTAGAATGGCTGCTGAGAAACCGCTCGCCCACACCTGAGGATAAGGGAAGAGGGGGGTACAGGGTGTGCGTGTGGGTGGGGGGAGGAGTGGGGACTAAGGAGCCCAGGGAGAGGGATCAATGACAAGAGAGCACATCCGCGTTGCTGCACTGCGCTTCTGCAGAATGGCCGCTGAGAAACCGCTCGCCCACACCTTGAGGGTTGGGAGCACAGATGGCGGGAAGGGAAAGGAGTTGGGGGGTCAGATAGTGGGGAAGGGAAAGGAGTAGGGGGTGGTAGAAGGGGATTCAATGACAAGCGAGCCCATGCGCGTTGCTGCACTGCGCTTCTGTAGAATGGCCGCTGAGAACCCGCTGGCCCATACCTTGGGGGTTGGGGAACAGATGGCGGGGGGGGGGGAGGTGAGGAGATAAGGAGGAGAGGCAGGGCGGAGGGGAGTGGGGGCGGGGCAGGACGGGGGTGGGGAGGATTGGGAAGTCAATGACAAGCGAGCCCATGCGCGTTGCTGCACTGCGCTTCTGCAGAACGGCCGCTGAGAAACCGCTCGCCCACACCTTGGAGTTAGTTTGGGGGCACAGATGGTCGGGAAAGGGGAGAAGGTGTGGGGAGGACGGGAGGGGAGGGCAGGAAAGAGAAACGGAGCAGAGGGCAAGGGTAAGTGGAGGGGGGAGAGAGGGGAGGTGGGGGGAAGGTGGCTTGGTGGGAGGGGTACGTGAGGGGGGAGAGGGGAAGAGAAAGAGATGAGGGAGTGAGAGGGGGCGTGCGTCAAACGAATTATGGGCCCGATGAGGGTACAACTTATTTGCAAGGAGTCGCTGGTGTGAGATCTGAAATATTAGGCGCTGACTCACCTTTAGCTCCTATTTTTCCACCGTGGTGGGCAGCAGGGCTGTCGATTGCCCTGGCCGAAGAACTTAGCAGGCTGAGGTGGCCTAATTTCAGCCCTTAATTTTCCGGGTTGAGCCCAATTTCAACACTTAGATTCAGGGCTACACATCCTTCTGCACTTGAACGTAAACACATCGTGAAAGTAGGTTGATGTTCAAATACACCTAAGGGCTGCGGTACATAGCAGATACATAACCCAATCTTCAATGCAGCGGGGGGATCGGTAGGTAAGGATGTTTTACGTAAGCAGGGAATGAATAACAAGGGAACGAGGGGGTTAGGGGGAAGGGGAAGGGCTCTGAACGTATACGTGAAATCCTAGTTAGGAGCTCGGCCAGCGCTTAAGGAAAAAGGGCTGGCCTCAAAGCCAGCACTTGAATTCTCTGAGTTGGGCTCAAACAAGCCCGTGAATTCAAGGACAAAAAGGGCAAATGCCCTTGTAGCGACAGCCTTGGTGGGCAGGCAGGGCGGGAGGCGGCGGAAAAGGGGGGGAGGGGTGAAACTGAGGCGGGGGAAAGCAGGGGAGTGATGAGGCGGGGTGGGGAGGGTCGGTAAGATTGGATCTGTTTTCTCACCTTCCAGTATAGGCGCGGAGTGCATGACTGATCTGAACTTCACTATACGAGACTTCATCCTCGCTATAAGGCCTCCCACAGCCTGGTAAGAGCCCCCTCGGTCTCACCTTGGGATCTTCGTACAGTATGGGCGCGGAGTGCACAACTGGATCCAATTCCAGTCACTTCACTATGAATCTTCATCCTCGCTATAGAACCTTCCACAGTCTGGTAAGAGCCCCCACCCTTCCCCCCCGATCTTACCTTGGGATCTTCTTCCAGTATAGGCGCCGAGTCCACGATGCACCCCTTTATAATCCCATCCACCGCCGCTTTCCCGTACTTGCGCTGCAGGCGCAGCAGCGCCGCCCCGTACGCGATCCAGCCCGTGTTGCTGAACGTGTGGAACAGCAGCGTGCGACGCCCGCCGTGATTCGCGCCCATCCCGCCGTGAATCGCGCCGTGCGTTCCGCCGCGATTCGCGCCCTCGAGGAGCCATCTTTCGAGCTCCGTGACTAGATCGTCGACGTGCAGCTCCGCCTTTTCGCCGAGCTGCGAAAAGGTAACACGCGAAAGAAGTATTGGCAAAAGCGAAACAGAAAGAACAATTTTACTCTTGACTACTCTACTTCCACTCTCGCAAGGGTCACTCTTGATACAACCACTCGCGACAGTCACTCACCCTGACGCTGAATATATCGGAATGACGAACCCAATTGCATCGATACCCCGCGTTGTGAGGCGCCTCATAAGTGAGTCCCTTTCGCGACAGCCACTCACCCTGACGCTGAATATGTCGGTGAACGGAATGACGAACCCGATCGCATCGATACCCCTCGCGTTGTACCACGTGGCATACTGACGCATGTGCCGCTGCTGCGCGCCGAGCCACCCCAGCAGCACCACCGCCGTCCGCCCGTCCCCTTCCGCACCCACGCCTGCCGCCGCTTCTTCCCAATTCCCTACAGATCGCGCTCCCCGTAACGTCCCACTCCCATTCCAGGATTTGGAGGCGTCCCCATTAAGAGAAAACGGCGTCACGGACGGAACTGACGGAAAAGTGTCTATTCTGACGAAACCAGTCGGCTCTCCCCGGCCCTGGACGGAAAAGTTAACGGAGCCATCGATCTGCACCGGGAGTTGCGCGGCTGTGGCGATCGTGCCAGTCGGATAATTCACATTGCTGCCGCAGGGATAATGGACGATTACGCGAGGCTTTTCCTTCTGATTCTGAAGGTCATTTTCACTCTTACTGTCTAAAAGGCTTGCCTTTTCCTGGTTGGATAGAGAGGAGGAAGAGGAGGATGCTGATGAGGGCGTGCTGAAGAGCGGCAAACACGGCGGTGATGCTCGCGCTTTCGTCATTGGATCGGCCGCCTGTTGCTCCTGCTCCTGCTTCTGCTTCAGTTGCTGCAGCTCCTGTTGCTGTTGCTGATTCTGCTTCGCGGCCGCAAGACGTTTCTCTGAATCGCCGCAATCAGCGCCGATCGCGTCGGTTGCGACGGTTGCGACGGCCGCTGTCGCCGCTGCGACGAGCGTCGGCGCGGAGTACGATAAATACAGCAGCACAGGCGTCGCGAACCTGAACGAGATCTCAGGAATGGACCCTGACGTCGAAGCGCCCGCACTCAAAACGATCGAGAGAACAAGCGAAATCACGACTTGCGCAATCGACGGCGCGCCAAGCGGACCGGCAACCTCGGTGGCGAGATAAGTGGGTGCTAGCATGCCATTCCACACGACATGCAGCCAGCCGGCACCGAGCGAGCTGGTTAGCGGATGGAAAAGGCCGAGGAGGAGGAGGAAAGTGGCGAGGTAAAGCGAGAGTTTGCGACGAATAACAGGGAGAGTGGTGACGACTGTGGCAATGGCGGTCAGAGCCGTGGTCAGCATGGCTGCTGGCACGGGGTGGTAGGTTTCTGTAGCCTCGGAGTTTCCGGAGCTGGCTTGCGAGGCTCCCGAGGCTTTGTAAACTCCGCGAACGCGATGCTGCCGAAGCTGCTGACACGCCTAGCCCAGCCTTCGGCGCCTAGGTTCTGCTCTGGCACCTCCTCGCCTAGCCTTCCCGCGCACCAATCCCGTTTCTCCACGCACTACTCTGAAGGGTTTGCCGCTCAAACTGCAGCCACAAAATCCAACAAAACTGACGCCTTCGGCTGGGGTAGAGAGTCCCTACGACTAAACAAGTTTCGCATGGCGACGCTGCCACTTCGAGCTAGCGAGCCTTCACCGGGGTTTTGATCAACAAGATCTGGATCGTAAGGGCTTGGCGATAAGCGGAAGCAGGATGAGCTCCTCTCTGCGATTCGGTTTCGCGTGAACGATAGGTACACAGTGTCTTTTCTAATCGCCTGTTAGAAGCCCAATCCGCTTCATTGGCAAGCTTTGGGCGACCAAAACAGTTCCGTCGTCGCCCGGGGTGTGGGATCGCACAGTAGTGTCGCCCAAGATGGTTGTGCGTTTCGGGCCCCAGCCACACCACTTGCTCAGCTCACCCATGCGACAAACATCAAGGGTATCCCAGCCCTTGGTACAAGTAGCGGCGACTAAACAGTTTCGCCCTGCTTAGCGAAGTCCTGATGAAGGGTGTTACTACGACCTCAAGCACGGTCCCACGAAGGCTTTCGTGATCTCGAGGCAGCTTGTGATTGGCGAGGACCCTCCTACGACAAATTTGTACAGCGATTGTGGGCCCTGGCTGGCGGCTCCCCCAATACGAATCGCGACCGCGAACAAAGCACACTTGGGACGCCACAATAACGCGGTCGTAAGTGGTCGCAGATCGTCGACAGGACGTCGTGAGGGTGGGCTTGGTGGAGGGTGAACCAAGCGTGCGACCATACCGAGGGCGGTCAGGGGGACGTCAACGTGAAGTGTGCTTGCAACGAGGTTGAGCCAAACAATCACCTTCGGCGCGGAATAAACAGAAGCGAAAGCACAACTCGCTGGAAGTAATAATTCGTGTTAGATCACAAAATCGATACGCTTATAATCGCAGATTTGAGGGAGACGGTAAATTATAACAAATACCGGGTAATTTGCCACTTTTACTTTGGTATTCAAAAAAGGAAGATTTTTGTTTTGAATTTCAACAACGTTTCCCTTTCCATTTGTCGCTTGCTTTAACCAAGCAAACATAACAGATAACAGATAGAGTGGAAACCAAGTTCTGAAGCGGTTTGCTCTATACAGCGCAAAATCGCTCCCTGTTCCATATGTACGCCATCACCACATCACGCCCTACTCTAGCCAACTCCATATCTCCGTCATCCCAACCAAACCATCACGCTTTCATCCCGTCCTCATCCCTCCCGTCGTCACTTTTCAATTTTCGTTCCCCTTTTCTGCTTACACTCACTCACAGATGCACGCTAAAGCTGCTTTTGTTCTGAATAAATAATAGCAAGTACGAGCATGGTAGAAGCCTACCTTTATTCTAAAAATTAAAAAGGTCAAAGTTCTGTCAGAATGCTATTATTGTCTAGCCTGCAGTGGGGTACTCTATAGCGAGTACAGCCCAATCTAGGGTTTGCTATTTGTACTCAACTGCCTGCTAGTTCATCCCCTCTCTCTCCTTTCAATCATTCTTGCCTAGTGATTCTGACATGCTATCAGAGCAGGTCGACCCTCCTGGGTCGATCCTGTGGGTGGGCCCACCACCTAAGCCTTCCGCTGCTACTGCTACTGCTACTGCTACTCCCTGTCCGCCGCGCGCCCCGTGGCGCGCGGCGTCGAAACTAGGGTTTTCAGCCCGCCGTGCGCCCCGAGGCACGCGGCGGTTTTCTGCCCGCCGTGCGCCCCGAGGCGCGCGGCGGTTCTCTGCCCGCCGTGTGCCCCGAGGCGCGCGGCGGGTTCCTGCCCCGTCACTCGGCACGTCGCCCCCGGGAGGCGCTGCGACGGGCGACGGGGACCCGCGCGTCGCCCCCCGTCGCCCGTCGTGGCCTGCGCGCGGCCCGTACACCCGGCACGCGGCCCGTACGGGCTGCGCCAGGCCCGCGCGCGGCCCGTACGGGCTGCGCCAGGCCCGCGCGCGGCCCGTACGGGCTGCGCCAGGCACGCGCGCGGCCCGTACGGGAAGCGCCAGGCCCGCGCGCGGCTCGGGCCGCCTGCGCGCGGTTCGGGCGGCTCTACCAGGCCCGTGGGCGGCCCGTTCCTCGCTGCTCCTGCCCTCTCCACTGTCCCCCGTGCTTCTACCGGCGCCTCACCCCTCCTACAGCCCGTTCTCCTAAATTAGGGTTTGGGGGTGAAGAGTGTGGGGGTGGCGGCTATGGGGGTGTCGGTTGTGAGTTCCTCTCCCTGCTCCTCCTCCTCCCTCGTCTCCCTCTGCTACAGCTGCCGCTGAGGGGGGTGGTGTGTGGGAGCCTAGGGTTTGGGGTTTAAGGGGGGTACCGTCGGAGTGGAGCTAGGGTGTCAGCAGGGGGTGTGTGAGAGGGGCGTGGGACGGTCGGGGGAGATTGCGTGGAGGTAGCCGTCGTGACGCCAGCAGCGCCAGTAGTCCGGATGCCCTCGCGCGTTTCGGTAGCCCAGCGAGCCTGCTTCGCCAGTCGCCTGTGGGTCCGTTGCTCCTGTGTGTGCTCGTCGTAGCCGCGGAGCCAGATACTCCCGTAGTCCGGTGCCCTCGTGCGCTCGGTAGCCACTGTGCGCGCCGCTCCTGTTGCCCGTGTGTCTGCAGCTTCAGTCGGCGCCTTTCATCTTCTCTCCTCTCGCCAGCCCTCCTCCTCCTCGCTTGCCCTCTGTGACTGCCTCTAGCTTTGCTCATAACTGTGAACTTTAAACTATTGCTTCTTGAACTTGTGCTCAGAATGTGTGGTGACATTGTGATCCATCCTGAGCTTGTACTGCTTTGCTTGCTCTGCTGATTACACCCCACTTTGGCTATGGGGGTGTGTCAGAATGCTATTATTGTCTAGCCTGCAGTGGGGTACTCTATAGCGAGTACAGCCCAATCTAGGGTTTGCTATTTGTACTCAACTGCCTGCTAGTTCATCCCCTCTCTCTCCTTTCAATCATTCTTGCCTAGTGATTCTGACAAGTTCATCCCTTCGCCATAGTGTTGTCGAATCAATGGATATTTCAAATCGCGACTCTTTTCATCCTCACTTCCTAGTCCGATTTGCGGCTCGCTCTAGCTCTCGGCTTTTCGATAAGGAATCGCAAGCATCCCTATAGGCGTAGGGAAAAGCATCGAACCACATAAATGTTGTTGCATATTCGGGTGGCCCATGCTCAAATACACCTACCAGATCACTTCTGGCTTTTTTCGCGCGCACAGAAAAGTTCGGCACCTGCGATAACGGCTCTGTCTGCCGACAAATGCTAAGGAGGCGAACGCTGTCAGAATGTTATTATTGTCTAGCCTGTAGTGGGGTGCTCTATAGCGAGTACAACCCAGTTAGGGTTTGCTATATGTACCCCAACTGCTGCTAGTGAAACCCCCCTCTCCTTTCAATCATTCTTGCCTAGTTATTTTGACATGCTATCAGAGCAGGTCGACCCCCTTGGGTCGATCCTGTGGGTGGGCCCGCCACCTAACTGCTTCCGCTGCTATTCTGCTTCTCGCACGCCTCGGGCGCGCGCCGTCTTCTTCCTGCCGTGCGCTCAGGGCGTACGGCGGTTTTCTGCCCGCCGTGCGCCCCGAGGCGCGCGGCGGTTTCCTGCCCGTCGTGGCGCCCCCGGGGACCTGCGCGCTGCCCCCCGTCGTCCTCCTCCCGTCGCCTCGTCGCGGCGCCCTGGGGGCCCGCGCGTCCCCCCCCTCCCGTCGCCTCGTCGCGGCACCTTGGGGGCCCGCGCGCCGCCCCCTCCCGTCGCCTCGTCGCGGCGCCTAGGGGGCCCGCGCGCGGCCCCTCCCGTCGCCCGTCGAGCCGCCC